GAGGGCGTAAGCGATTTACTAGCACCTTCGAGATTACCTTGTATATAACGTTGCAGAGGCTTATGGGGCGGAAATCCTTGATACTAATAGGATTGTTTCCTTTAGGAATAAGCACAATTCTAGTGTCGTTCACACCCGCTGGCATCACTCCATCCTCAAAAAACTTTTTTACTCCATTTATTACATCCTCCTTCATGGTTTCCCAATTCCGCTGGAAAAAAACGAGCCGGGAAACCATCGGGCCCTAGGGCCTTGAGTGGTCCGATTTGAAAAAGGGCATCACCTATCTCCTCATCCGTGACCGTTTTGACTAGTGTTTCATTCATTTTGTCATCCACCTTCTTCGGGAAAAGGTCAATTAATTCCTATGGTATAACCTTGTCGTCTCGCGTATATAAGCCCTGGAAGAAATTGTTCATCTCCACATGTATATCCTCTGTTTTCTCTGCCCAACTTCCATCCTCACGTTTCAGTTTTGTTATTTTATTTTTCTTTCTGCGCCATGTTGCTTTGCGGTGGAAGAATTCCGTGTTCCTATCCCCTTCCCTTAACCAGGTTATCCGAGACCGTTGTCTCCACATCATCTCCTCCCTGTAAAGCCATTCATCTAACTCAGATTCTGTTCGCCTCATCTTCTCTTTGATTTTGGGAGTTTGATGCAACATACGGAAGCCCTTGAGAGCATCTCTTAGCGACTTTATTCTGTTTTGTACAGAGCAGAACTCCTTTTGCGCCCATTTGCTAAGGACCCCCCGTATACTTCGTAGTTTCTTGGTGATTTTTTTTCCATAGAATGACCTGGACCTCCACCAGACCATGCATTAGCCACTACTTCTGGCAGTTTATCAGCTCTTTCCCACATATGTTCATATCTGAAGTTATTGTTGACTAGACGCCACTCTCTCCTGGAGCCGAAACGGAGAAATAGAGGTACATGGTCAGATCTCGAGGACACAATATGTTCCGCTATAGCATTGCTAAACAGTCTGCACCACTCTGGGCTAGCAACCCCTCTGTCAAGGCGTGCTTTTACATTGAAAATTCCCCTTTGTTTATTGTCATATGTCCAGGGTGTGCCCTTGAAGCCTATGTCATGAAGGTTGCAGTCCGCTAGCACTCTTCTAAAGTCTGCCATGTTACTTTCCGACCGGTGTGATCTCGAGAAATGCTCGCTCTGCCACATGGCTTCATTGAAATCACCAATCATGAGCCAAGGTTCAGAGGAATTGTTACGATTTTTTCTCAACAGTTCCCACATGTGATGTCTCTCATTAGCCTTTGGTTCGCCATACACAAAAGTTCCTCTCCATTGTGAGCTATTTGGACTTAGACGGATTAACACATCGATGTACCAGGGACCAACGGCAAGCTCTTTTATTTCGACCTGGGACCAACGGCAAGCTCTTTTGTTTCGACTGACTCATCATAGAAGAGTGCAATGTCGGCGCCTTTCCCGACGCCAGGTTGCAAGATACAGTGTTTGAGGCCAAGCCTCCATCTCAACTTATTCACTACATCATTGATTTGCCGTGTTTCAGAGATAAAAACTAGTTTGGCTCTGTAGATGTGCACGAAACCCACTAGTTCACGAACTGTCCGGGGTTGTCCCAAACCCTGACAGTTCCAGCTTATGAGTGTCATGGCTCCTGGTGGACGCCCTCCTCGGCATCCACCAGTTGACCGAGAGCCCCATGCTCGGTTGCTTCCTTTCCACCCGCCTTCCCCGAGTCCTCCTGCTCCTCTCCATTGCCTGCTCCTCTTTTTTTCTTACACTGGTCTGTATCTCCTTCCTTCTCATTAGAGTTTGCCACCTCATTTTCAGACTGCACACGGTCACCTCTTTTGCCCAACACAGATACCTGGTCGCCTCGCCCCTTCTGTCCACGCCTTCCCATAGTGGCCTTCTTCCTCTTCAACTCCTCCTTCAACTGGTTATTTCCTCCCTGTGACTGCACCGGTTTAGTTAACACTTGGGACTCGACAGTACTAACAGCAACAGCGAAAATGCCGCTTCCAGCAGCAGCGTAAAGTGGAGTCGGGCCAAAGCCCGGAGGCAAGGGGAGCTCCACCGGCCCCTTGGATGCCTGGGATTCGACCAACACCGCTACTTGCATCGCTTTGGGCAGAGCTGAGGTTGAGCCCAGCTGCGCCAAGGTGACTTTTTCAGTCTCACTGGCATTGTTCTTGCTGTCTCCCTGAACCTCGTCCAACTGCTTGTTGTTGACGATCCCTTTATCTGTCGTTCCATCCACCACGCCGGCTTGGGGAGCCTTCTCTTGATTCAGAGTGTCACTAGCGGCGCCTCCGGAGTTACCATCCTCACCGCTGCCAGAGTCCAGCTTGATGCTACTGACTGCCGCGATTGCAGCCTGAACCAATGGGTCAGCCAACACCTTCTCCGGAACCATGCCATACTTCTCTGCTGCCTTCTTTTGCTGGATCATCTTTGACGCTCCCATGTTCTCTGGCTCGAAGAGGAGGAAACGGCGATCACTGCTCGTTTCTGGGACGATGACACCTCCCTTCATACTACTTCTTTTAAAAGGAGATGCGCGTAATGCTGCCGAGAATCTCATCTCTTGGAGATCCTCTGGGAGCTTACAATCGCGCTGCCCATGCCCCAGATGGCCACAAGCACTACAAAACCTAGGGAGCCTCTCATATTTTACATTCAGCTTGTACATTTTTCCTTCAGCACTATCATAGGTCTCTAACTTACTTCTAATGGGTTCATCCACATCATGGTTAAAGCGAACACGCATATAGTTGTCCCAGATTCTGCCATCCTTGTTAGCATCCACTTCTAGCACCTCACCAAGCTCGGCGCCGAGGGCACGGGCCACCGACTCAAAGAGCATGATCGGAGGTGCATCGTAGATGCGTGCCCACATTGGCATGTGGGTGACCTCCACATCACCTGGCCTGGCGCTCCCGTTCACCGCCACCATGAGGAAGGCGTCTCCTTTATGGGTCCACGGCCCATTGTTGAGGATGAACCTGAGGTCCCCCTCGCGCTCAAACTCAAGGGTGAAGCGGTTATTCTTGAGTGAGTGTAGCTGAGGCGCCCCCTCATCCCCCACTTGCTCTTGAGCTCATGGAAGAGCCCGCTGATGTTGAAGATCTGCACTGAAAAAAACAGGCCATGTCAGAAATAGCCATCATAGAAAAAGTCTGGTGGATACCGATATAGAGCCGGTAGCCGGCGTTTCTATTAGCCATGCTCTCAGTTTGTCATATACGTAGCTGCACGCGGACTGTTACAAGCAGCATGTGACTCTTCTTTTCAGACAAAAATACGCGCTGTCAAGTGTTGTACTGTATGCTTGCGGTCTGTTGGTCCCTCCATCGTTCTGCGACACCACACCAGCCGTCCTTTTTCACTGTTACGAGAGCTAGCTCGAGTTTGCTACACGCTGCATGCATGCATGGGAGCAAATTAAGGGGCTATTGCATGTGTATTTGGAAGGCTGAGAGAGAAAGACAGAAAGATGTTGTCCGATTCAAATGGAGGCCTTGAGAGGTGGGCAACACCAAAACTGGATCTACCATAAGCTGGTGCTGCTCCTAGCCACTCACGCGCAATACTCGATTCCACAGTTGCCCAGCACAAACGGATCAATTAGCTAGAGTAGATCCAGGTATGGTGTTGGGCACATCCCTCGAAGTCTACTCTACAGCGTCGGAGAGACGTTGCTGTCAATGTCACTGTCGATGAAGCTGGAGGATGGCGTGCCGCTGGAGCTCGCGGTGGTGGACCTAGAGCCGGAGGTGCACCGCCGTGTCCTCGCCAGCTTCAGCGACGGCTTGGACAGAACCAGTCAACACTTTTTTTAATAGTTTAAATTGTTTATCACATGTGCCACAGCCACACTGCTTTTAAACACACAAAGTGCACTATAAAAAAATATCATCAACAGTATACCATATGAAACATGGAGGAACAGAAACTACGGCGGAGCAGCCATTGTGTAAAATTTTGACAACATACACTGCGTCGTCGCCACCCATCTCATCTCTTCAGCCCCCCTTGCCCGGGAACAACAAAATGAGGCAGCCGCTCACTGAAGAAACTGAAATGATTTATTTTTTGAAACAAAGAAACGGAAACTACTCATACGAGAGTATGTCCACTGTTTAAGTAGAAATGCGTAGTTCACCTTTTTCCATTAGTTTGAATTTTTGGATGACCTGATTGATGCGTAAAGCTTAACATGATATCAGAGTTAAGATCTTAATGAGCTCAAGTCGCCTCTTGAGCCAACTTAACATCCATGGCTAAGAACGAACGTCAGGTACATCATCGCTGGGTTTCATTTGGGCTGAAGGCAAAATCCTAGTACGGCCATGGGCCACTCTGGCTACCCACTGGCCTGCACGTGCCTCGCTTGTCTGCAGGTTGCATGTAGATGCAGTGGAGGTGAGAGATCTATGTCAAAACCTTATATAGAGAGATTAATTGTACTAGTAACTAAAGGTGTTCGATCGACCGGGTTCTCATATCCTGAACAAACAAGGCACCTCCCGCACCCAAACCTTTCATTGAACTAACCAGTTACAGTGACAGGAGAACATTGGGCGGGTGGTCCTAGCTAGCGGTTAGGTTGGGCCTTGAGGGTATCTCCAATGGTTGTAAGATAGTTGTTGGTAGACTTTGACACATAGGATTTTTGATGATGTGTCATGCAATAAATGAGGAAAGAAAGAAATGTTGTATGTACATGAACCAACACCCATTACACAAGTTCCAATATAGAATGAGAGAGCACCTTATTTATTATCTCACATACTAGATACAACCCATTGGAGATGTTGTATGTTAAGATGTTGGTTGATGATATGACATATTTTATCAAAAAACTAACATACAAACTGTTAGAGATGCTCTGAGAGCTGCATGTCACCAAATTAACCTGGATG